ACGATGCTGTGCATGGCTCTCCGATAGCCTGAGCTGCTCTGCTTTTCATGCCAAAAATTGGGTATATTCGAACTCTGAACCAAGCCCACGGATGGTAAACCCATATTTAACGATGTAGACGTACCAGTGGTCAACCAACGTGGGGTGGATCGGTGGTTTGTGCACTGCGCTATCAACATGGCGACCTGTTCTAGATTTGAAGCTTTCGTGACTGCAAGGATTCATATTCTTAGGTTTTTTCGGTAAAGTCACGTAGATAACATTTTTTTAAAATTAATAAAGTAAAGTAAAAAATAAAATAAAAATCACGACGTTTCGGAGACGGAAGCTTGTGTTGCCTCCGAACGTCGTGATTTTTATTTTATTTTTTATTTTACTTTATTTTTTACCTACGTGACTTTACCGAAAAAAACCTAAGAATCATGGTGACCTGTGTTTGTTTCTCGGCCATGGCAAACATCACGGGCGAGTGATATCGGGACGGTTCCTGGGCCCTACCTACTTCACAAGCCTATAATGACCAACGCGATGATGCATTGCTAAAAAACACCCCACGTGACCAACACGGCATTAATCTAAAATGATTATTAGCGCACGTGTACTTCTGTTATAGAGCACGGGCCCCTTCCCTATTAAACCGAGGCCTTCACAGATAGCATTATTGCACCATAGCTGTCACTTTCCTTAGTCACCTTGCTATGGAAGACTTTCTACTATGCTTGAACTAAAAAAATCAACTCGTACAATAATAAACACTGCGGTATAGTTTCAAGACAATACAATAAACAAGCAATTAAAAGGTGTTATTGTTTTACTGAGACCACATTTGCCTTTCCTACACTATAGGGCAAATTCAAAGTGCCCTCACATTAAAATTAACAATAGACCAGCAGTCGTCTCCATTGCTGATCATTGGGCCTACGATAAAAAAAATCCCGACGGCAAGAATCATTTTTTGCAAAGAACGACCATGAAGTGGTATTCATTTTCCTGGCCTTGGAGGGAAGATATACTACTAACTCCTATCGGTTTTTTGTATTGTTTGTCGTTTAACTTTCTGACCCACCCCTACCGGACGTCTGTGAAAAAGAGCTTCATAGCTCATCGGATTCCTCCAGCCTCAAATAAAGATTCTGATTCTGAACTTGACCCTGTTGGCCGCTATACCCACATCACTACCCTCGTAGATACACATTTTGAAGATGACAGGGCCAATTTTCAGTACTCACACTTGAGAGGGGATTTAACGTTAAGCTCACAATGATGCCTTTTTCTGTAGGCCACTGTATCCGAATCAGCTCATAACACCAAGTAATGGTTCAGTAATCAGATGCAAATGATACCATTCATTATAAAATGTCATGCTCCACATGTGGCACCTCTTCACCTTTATTTGGGTAATTGAGTTAAGCCCTGGTAACATGAGGCCAATTATAACCCTATTTCAGGCTCTTAGTTTTTTTTTTTCCTTTGCTGAATTATCATCGCCACAGACTCGTGTTATAATCCCTCCAGTGTTGATGGCACTTCTGTGGAAAGCCCAACAGTGATTGCGTTTGGGAGAGACTGAGGCCTGCCAGAGAAATGTGGAAACATTTCCACCCCTGCCTTAGGGCTAACCGCAACAGATGAGCAACCACCTCATTTCTCATTCAAGTAGGAAGACACCTTGACTTTGACATTTGATGGCCTTGTGCATTGTAAACCTGTCTCGTTAATAAAGGCAATTGCATCTCTCCTGTCTGTCTGGCGAACAAAGATTGTGCCTACAATGCACAGCGGGCTTAGCAGCTGTGCTTGCAAAACAACAGTTACCTGGGTGATTCGTGCAAAAAATATTTACACGTGAGTGCATTGAGATTTTCCCCTGAATTTATCGATAACAACCCTGCCCTTGCCATCTCGTCGGCAGCTAGCAGCCAACTGACAGTGCATGGTTTGGGGATTTTTAACGCAAACACGTGGATCAGTTAGTTACGAATAAATATTTTAAAAAATGTTCGGATCATATCTGTAATTATATAGATACGATTGGATTTCGTTTTTTTTTTAAAACCGATCCCAAGTGACTGGGATTGACGTTAATGTATCGCACGGCATGGTAATGATGGATTACTTAATTACACAATGTGTTTTAGGAGTACCCGGAGAAAATACACGCATACGAGGGGATAACACTCAAATATCTGCACAAAATAATCTACAGTATTTGCTGTGCTTTTCCTGGCCACCTTGCAATCCAGAGATTTTGTGAGTCTCAAAAATCGTTGTGTGATCCACCAACATTTGTCTACAAAGCTCTGAATTGCACAGCCACTGCCATGACGATCCACCAATCATAAGAATTGATGCTAGAATTGATTAATCCAGCTGCAAGAACTATCGATCCACATTCTAAAGTTCAAATAATCTATTTGTGAATTGAATTGTAATATCTGCAGCCATGGTCTATTCTACGCATGCAAATGATTAATTACCTAATCTCACACTTGAGGTTGTGATTCAATAATAATTTTTGTCTCATTTTTGCCATCTTGTTTGTGTTGGGTTTTTTTCTTTTCTTAATTCTGTTAGCCTGTGTTTAACATTATCAGATCATTTGCATACATTTATTAATTTCTCCCACACACTATGTGACGCGTATTTTGTGAGCGTAATAATTGATTTCAATTGAATCTGCACCTGCGATTCGGGCAGTTGGCTACGTACGGTGCAAAAGAAGTTCAACAAACACACAATAGAGTCAATTATACATATACAGTAAAAAAATACTTTTTACTTCAATCCATAAAGATGGGCGTTAACTCTGAATATATATTAAACTGAGAAAATTAAAAACACGAAAGGAAAAATTCCCATGGGTCACATTGGAATATGTAATTACCACGAAGCAAGCAGGGGTGAAAGACCCAGCCCAGCCACCGTAAGTACCTGCTGACCCCAGCAGGGAAATAGGGAAGATTGATCACTTTTAAGAGCGCAATTGAATGTCGCCTTCGTGAAACACGAACGGGAAATAAAAGGTGGCGAGGTGCCTTTGGTGACCGCAACCTCGCAAGCCGAATTAAAACCGGCAACACTGCCTCTGGATATCTTTTCGGCCGCACACGAATGTGTTAAGGCTCCTTTTAGTGTCACCGGCCGTTGACGTTTAAAGGAAGGGCTGGAAGCGACATCATGCAGCGTGAAAAATAACATGTTCTAAGTACCCGGGAAAGCCTCACTGAGTCTCAAGGACAGCTTTTCAGGAGGGTTCTTATTTTGGATTGTGGACTAATAATATTTTTTGCACGTGGAAGTCGCAAAGAGGCGATCAACTCAAAGGGAAACGGGACTAAAAACACTAGGAATGGAACTCAACAAAAAATAAGTGTGAGACACTAACTACAATATTATATTTAAATGTGTTAATTGCCACATCATGATTTATTTATAATTACCTGTCAACAGTAATTCTTCTCCAACTCTGTATTGAAAGGATATAATAATAGTACCAGAGTACTGGTTCGTGTCCAGGTCACAGCTCATATTTAGTGACGGGTGATATCTGAACAGATCTTATCCCAGCCACCTTTCGAGTGTGGTGATGTATGCACTCCTGAGATGTTTCTTGCGATATGAGCACCTTGCAAATGTAACGTGTTGTTGTTTAGCCATACAGGCCCCGTGACCAACAACAACAACACCCTCATCCTTCTTTGTGAATTATTACCGTGAGTACTATTAATCAGAAAATTCGTTCTGAGGATGTCAACACGATAAGTTAATTTGAAGAAAGCAGGCAAGTAGTCGGATGAAGCTAGTTTTACAATACCAATTGCAGGATTACATTCGGTTACTACTAAGGCCTCGAGTAATGAAAAATCAGAGGCTGATTCCATTTCAAAAAGAACATTCGCAATGCTTGCGGAATGTGCATGAGGGAAGTGAACTTGTCAAACAATGGAGGCACTGCCATTGCAAGTGCAAGCGCCGCTCATGCATTCTAGGAACTCATCAATCTCTGCCAATGCAGAGATCTCTGCCCATTCCCGCCCAGAGCGTGGGACACAAGCAAACAAAAACAAAGATTCCCCCTAATGACCTTCACAGACTGTTGGTGCAAGTTCTGTTAGCGAGCGCCTATGAAGGCCGGCATGGCACACGAGGGTGTGGGTTGCCAGCACCATGCCCGACCGCCTTTGTCTCCCCAGTGGTCATGTTTACTACACACCTCACCAGGTACTCATTTGAGGCTGGGTCGACCTAGGGGAGGCCCAGGACTTGTTCAGATAATTGTCACTGGTGTTGGCCGTGAGCGGGAATCGAACTCGGGTCGCCGGGTTCGTAGTGCACTAACCGCTACACTACCGCTCCCCTACACTGTCGCCAACCAAGCAAAGCGAACAGAAAATAGGAAGGCGATACTTGGCTATAAGAAGTCATGCACTGTTAGAAGAGAGTACACTAGCCAACCAGACTGTAGTCTTATCCCTAAAGATGTGAAGGTGCAGCTGTGCAATTTCTCGCTCGCACTACTTTTGGCAGAAGCTCCTCCACTCGTGGGTATCGTGATATGTTTGCCCAATGCTGGCCAGGCATCTTGGAAGAAGTGGGAGTACCCACACACGCAACCTGCCATTTGGATAACTGTGGTGGGTGGACAGCAGTCAGTCCAAAGTTCACTCCTCTTGCCAGCTCTACCCTTGACATTTTCCTGAGCCTCCGATTAGCGCAATTGGCTACGTACGGTGCAAAAGAAGAAATACATAACCTGAACCCCACCAATCTTGTTTATCCATTTAAAAAAAAATGTTGTTCCATATTCACCATTGGAACTATTTTCGCATCTTGATCAGATGGCAGAAACACATCACCATATTCACTGTCAGCCATTTGCACCTCATTGGTAGCGGACATGTCCGTTATGTTTTCACACAAAAAACACATTCGTTAACACGTGAACGTGAATCCCTGGGAGTTTACGGTGCTTGCAGGGAGATGATGCTGGGACCACTCACCCGGAGCTGTGTGACGACATGTGCACGGGCACGGACTGGGCCTCCCCCTCCTTAAACTCCTTCTGCTCGTCCGTCCGCCGCCGATCCTCTTTCCTAACCCCGCTGTCATTTTCGTCATCGTCGTCATCGTCGTCGTCGTCATCGTCGTTGTCATCTTCCTCCTTTTCCTCCTCCTCCTCTTCCTCCTCTTCCTCGCCACCTCCCTGGACTTCACGCGCGGGCTGCCGCACGGACATGGTGAGTTGACCACAATGGCTGTGGCTGCAAGTGAGGCGCGCGGCAAACTGCAGCAGTAGGCATCCACCGCCGCCTTCATCGCCCACGCTCGCTGCAGCAGTGTTGCCTCTCGCCGCAGCAGCAGCAGCAGCAGGAGGATGGTCTGCTGCAGCACCAACAGGACCTCCCGCAGTTCCAGGCAGAGCTCCTGCAGCAGCCTGAGGGTGGCCCACCGAGGTGGACTCGGAGGCCGCACCGAGGTTTAACTCGGGGCTGAGCAGCAGGACGGACGCATTGGGTAATGACGCCCGGGTGAAGTCCATCAGCAGGAAGCGGCCTTATTTTTTATTTTTGTCAGGCAGACACGCAAAAACAGAGACACAATGATGGCAATGAGAACTGCAGTTCATAGATCATGATCACAATCATATATACTGCATAGGCACCGACGGCAAACCACTCGTTCCCCAGCCTAAAATGAGTACGGTGTATTGTTTAAGACAGGCCCTTCAAGGATATTGGGTAGGGCTTATGAGACGTTTTCCAAGTTTATCCACAATGAGACATTCTTTTCTGGGATCTGAATATACTTTGCTGTCTGCATCAATCATGAAAGTAAATAAGTGTAAATTTCCCAAAACTTATCTCCATTGGCCGTCACGAGGCAGTTGTGAAAATGTGAAATTCATTTAGTGATTGTCAACCTCTCCGGGGTTGACTTCTCACAAAGTGGTACTCAATGAATTAATCCCAGATTATTGATGGGCAGAGTCGACTCCAAAGTGGAGTTTGAACTCACGGGGACCTGATTAATTTCGTGTTTTAACAAAAACAATTGCCATTTTTTCCAGAAACTGTGCCTCATTCCACTTTTTGGAATTCAGCATGGACTGGTCTCAGCAGTGGAGGATCGGATTCCATCACACCTCATTCCACACCGGTGAAATGGGCCAAAGTGGATGGGATTACGGGTCAGGGCAGTGCTAGGGCAGTGCCAGAAATTGCAGAATTGTGTCAATCAATATTTAGGGGCGTGATCTCTGAAGAGATTGCTAAGAGGGTGTGGTGTCCTCTTCTGCTCGACACGCTTGCCAATTTGTGACTCCCCCCCCACTCCACAAAATTACGGTGGAAAAACCGCCACAAATTTTGAGTGTCATTTTTCTCTCAGAAAGGGGATCTGGTGTGGTGAAATAGATGTACTCGGAGACAAATTTTATTGGTGATGATGAAGACACCAGTGTTGCCATTGTTGCTGCTGCTGCTTCTGATGCTGTAGATGATGTGATTTATCTAGCAACAAAAAAACTCCACTGATTCCAAAACTTTTTTTGAATGAGTGTTTTTCACATGGCAGGAAACCATGGGCGTATACAGACAGGAAACCAACACACGGAAGGGAATAGCCCTAAAAGGTGCCAACAGATCCATACGTACACATACCTACTTGCTGTACTGTATTATTCTAGTAAGCGTGCAGCTTACTAAAATACTTGTTTTTACTTTGGAATAGAATAATTGCAGCAGCTACAAGGGGGGGGGGGGGATTTCCTCAAACCAGGGAGGTACTTACCAATCAATTGAGCTGAGTGTCAGACAGCCGTTAATCACAAAGTAATAAAAAAAAACGCTGCTGAAAATTCGTGCAGGCTCATGTCTGTGCGTCACGCGGCGCTTCAGCCGTAATAAGGTAAGGAGACATGGGCCTCCAGAGTCAATGTATCATGTTTCAACATTATTGCACAAACCCATGATGTACAATATTTACAATTGTGGTCAGAGTGGCGACCGTTAATATTACAGTTGTGCATGTTCCTCCAAAAAATAAACCTGGGATATGAATGCGCAGATTTTGTTCAGTATTCCATTGTTCTTCAACAATTTTTCATGTTTAATATACTGATTTCATAACTTGTTTGTTTATACATTTAGGGCCTGATGTGTAAGCTTACAGTTCGGCATTTTATATTAATGGTTGGTGGTGAAAATGGCTGAATAGTGGATATTTTCTGGCAAATTGGCCATTTTTTCACCAATAATTTGCAGAAAGGTGGGTCTACAAACACCACGCGAGCCCTTAGACATATTCAATTACTATGACGTGATAATTATGGATGGTTATTTTAGGGGTACAGTGGTGGTGCATTAGTTAGTGCACTGCATTATGAACTCGAGTCGGATTCCTGGTCATGGCAAACACAAGTGGTGACCGATATCACCAACCCACGCCGACTGATGAATTATAGTCAAACAAGCCTCCACGACCGCAAGGCGTGCAAAGGCCTTCTTCATTCCAGCGGTGTCTTGAAAAGAACTGCCAAATTATTATCGCTTACAATAATTATTAATATATTATACAAAGTAATTCGTGGACAAATTCCCCGGTGAATAGCAGCTTATCTGACTGTTTTTTTTTCTACGCAATTTCATATTTCAACTGTCGAAAACAACCACCACAGGACACCCACTGGTGACTTTCTATGAAATAATCGTGTATGTACAGGCGTCCCTTGCGCAAGAAGCGCCCCCTAATCGGGAGAAGTCGCAGTTACGCGATTCACATTTTAGGGATCATACATCACGCGAAGCTTTTTGCAGTTACGGGTGCAAGATTTTTTTTTTGTAATTACATATAAAAAAAATCTATTATAAAAATTCGAAGTAAAAAAATTTCTATATTTCTGATGGTGTCACCGCGTCATATAACGGGCTGGGCGCTGCCATCTTAGAGCATCGTGCGTGCTGCTGCTGCCCAGAAGTTACTCCTTATTGAGTAATCTTTGTGAGTTAGTAATCTTTTAAATATTAATTCTTATTCGCTGTTATTTAAACTCCTTATTAAGTCATTTTTGTAATGTTAATAGTATAATTATTACGTGTTAAATGTATACATATATTGTAAATCCAGGGCTAAAATAATTAAATTAAATTACACTAAAAAAAAATCGGAAACGCACCCCCTCCCCCCTGGTAACATGTATGTCTATGGGAAACTCGGCTTCATAGAGCGCAATTCGATGAACGCGCTGTTTTTCAGGAGCGCATGCAATCGCGTTTCACGAGCGACGTCTGCACATTCTAGTTTACTAACGCTGCAGAGATGATGGGCTAAATCATCCCACAAGCAGGAACTGAGGCTTTTGATCGCTAGCCAAGTGAGCACCTGTCTCGATTATTTAAAGATTTACTTCTAATTAAAACGTATCATTAATTAACATCATTAAAAGCAGCTCTGCAACCAGCCGTCTTTGGAGGTGTGAGGCATAAGCATTGACGGCTGCTGCCCGGTGAACTAAGCTGCTTACACGATCATATATCTACAGTGGTTTGGGGTCACTTTTCACATTTTTCAAAATGAACTAGTCCCATCGCAAACCGCAATCACTCGGTACCATCTTCAGTAACATTAATCTGATATGAATGTAACCTGATTTCTCACCGAAACTGGAGGACAGTAACAATGAGATTGCCGGCAACTGACTATTGTAATCTGATTACAACAACGCATTTATTCCCACCAGTGGCTGATGGTAGCAGAATCCTGTGATGGCCGCCATTATGGGATGCAGTTAGCCTTTCAACGTTTTGCAGAAACATCAGACTGCATAGGCAAAAAAAACCCCTATTCCACTATAGGTATTGGGGAAATGAAAAAAAAGCAGGCCCTTTTTTGTTGTTGCAGGCCACGTTGTTGCCATGGTGTTTCTGAGAACACTGTATGACAGGGCATCGTCAGAGAGTAAGGTCATATAAGGAATATCAATTGGATTTTTCATTCCGTTCTTTTATCGTGTGCCGTGTGTGCGCGCGAGAGGCAGAGATGGCAAGAGATTGAGTAAAAGAGTGATGGCTCCAATACAGGAATTTCAGTGGATGTGCAACAATGGTAAAGAATTTCCGATGTACACGGAGAGATGTAGTTTACTGTTTACAAAGGTATAAACGAAGGGGCCATTTGAAACAATCCAGTTCAGAGAGATGCTTTCTCTTTTGACAAACAAACCATCGCACGAGCAGCAAAAGGGTACGGTTGCTGTCATTATCGATAAATGGAATATGCCTCTCTTTTTGTGAATCCACTGTGGTGTGTGATTTCAAGATTGTTAGGTAGGCTGCCGGCATTACTATCTGATTCCTTCTGCGTTATTTGTGTTGACGTGCAATGGGAGGAAAGGGAAAGAAAAATAGAGCCAAATATGTGACAGCCCGATATGGGCGGCGGGGCTTACTGATGAGGGAGGAATGCACAGTCAGTCGTTACAGCAGAATGTATAGAGCAATATTAGAAGTTTTTTTTCAGAATCAGAATATTTATTCATGCTGGAGGAATCCGATGAGCTATAAAACTCGTTTTCATAGATCTCCACGGGGTAAGAACGTTACAACAACAAACAGTACAAAACATGATAGTAGTTCAAGTACAAGAAAGGTAAACAAATCACCCAAACACATGCAAATAAAAGTAAGCCATCCTCATCCTACCAGGCAAAGCCCACTGAGGCATTAACTTATTTTTCAGAAGCGACCCGGCCACAAATGATATCTCAACAAAGTGGCACATCATTTGGACATTTATAGCACAAAATAATCGAATCTCAGTGGATATTTCTAATATGAGCAGTGCTCACCTTTGTTGGAATCCCAAGTCCACCATGGTCATTCCATATTCCTTTACCAAGGGTCATTCTCTCTATAGGATAACTACGACTGACTTCACGCGGAGTGATCTCTTTTTTATTGACACCCAAAGAGGTGATGGGCTGGGTTGTTAACCCAGGCTCGGATTCAAACGGTACAAGTTTTTTCTTCCGAAAATAGTGTTGCTTCGTTGAAAGTTAACTTTTTTCCAATTGTGCTATTTTACAATCCAGCGAATCCAGAATGCCACATCCTGCCCTAGAACACTATTCTGGAACGAAATATTTTACGAGTTTATGACAGAATGGCCAGCCTCGGCTGCTATCTTGGCCACAAAAAGTAACCAGTTTGACATTACTCAACGAAATTCAAAAGTAAAAACGTCTCCCTCACTGTGGTATGTCATGCAGGACCGGATTAAGATTGTGTAGGCCCCTGGGCCTTCAGGTACCGTGAGGCCTCCAGTAATATTTTCAAAAGAAAAACAAAGTTAAAGAAAATGTTAATTTATTTTTACAAGGCTAACAACAAATGAAATTCAGCATTCACAAGTGAAATAACTTTTCACTTCTTCTCTGGAGGCTCTCCAGCTGACAGAGGCCCCTAAAGCCCCCGTGCCTTAATCCGGCCCTGATGTCATGTAATGTTTTTGGGTGTGCTTATCTATAAAACATTGAAGGCATAGATGTATGTACTGTA